TCCCAAAGTGTCACCTGTCCCCAGATGTCCCCAGATGTCTGCAAATGTCCCCAAACCCTCGGTGTCCCCAAATGTCCCCAAGTGTCCCCAAGTGTCCCCAAATGTCCCCAGGTGTCCCCCCTGACCTTCTTGAGGCCGACGCAGAAGCGCCGGAACCCCTCCTTCATGTTGCTGCCTTTCTCCATGGAGATGTGACCCCAAACCCCCATCCCCAAATGTCCCCAAACCCTCAGTGTCCCCAAGTGTCCCCAAATGTCCCCAAATGTCCCCAGGTGTCCCCAAGTGTCCCCTCTGACCTTCTTGAGGCCGACGCAGAAGCGCCGGAACACCTCCTTCATGTTGCCGCCCTTCTCCATGGAGATGACGCGCAGGTGATCCTCCTCGTTCACCCACACCAGGAACGTCTTGTTGTCGTTGTGCCTGCGGGGACGCCCAGGGGACATTGGGGACATCGGGGGGACATCGGGGGGACAGATCAGCACGGCCCAGGGACCCCCAAGGGTAACCCCAAAATGGGAGATCCCAGTAACAGGGGGACATCAGGGGACATTGGGGGAGTTTGGGGACATCAGAGGGCGTCACAGACATGGGGGGACACCCAGGGGACATTGGGGACACCGGGGGGACACCGGGGGGACATCGGAGGGACAGCTCAGCAAGGCCCAGGGACCCCCAGGGATCCCCCAGAAGGGGAGACCCCCGTAACGGGGGGGCATCAGGGGACACTGGGGACATCAAAGGGACATCGGGGGGACAGATCAACACGGCCCAGGAACCCCCAAGGGTAACCCCAAAATGGGAGATCCCCGTAACGGGGGGGCATCAGGGGACATTGGGGGAGTTTGGGGACATCAGAGGGCGTCACAGACATGGGGGGACACCCAGGGGACATCAAAGGGACATTGGGGGCATCAAGGGGACCTTGGGGACACCTGGGGACACACCTGGGACACACTGGGGGACACCTGGGGACACCTGGGACACATTGGGGGACACCTGGGGACACCTGGGGACACACCTGGGGACACCTGGGGAATGCCCAGGGCACACCTGGGGACACCTGGCGACACCTGGGACACCTGGGGACACACCCGGGGAATGCCCAGAGCACACCTGGGACACCTGAGGCACACCTGGGACACACTGGGGGACACCTGGGGACACCTGGGGACACCTGGGACACACTGGTGGACACCTGGAGTGCTCAGGGTTGTTGGTGGCACTCCAAATGTCACCTCAAATGTCCCCAGATGCCACCTGTCCCCAAATGTCACCTGTCCCCAGATGCCACCTGTCCCCAGATATCACCTGTCCCCAAATGCCACCTGTCCCCAAGGCTCTCCTTGCTCCCAAAGTTCTCCCTGTCTCCAGACCCCTCCATGTCCCCAAAGTGCCACCTGTCCCCAAAGTCACCTCTGTCCCCAAAGAGCTACTTGTCCCCAAATGCCACCTGTCCCCAACGCCACCCGTGTGCCCAAAGTTCTCCTTGTTCCCAAAGTGTCACCTGTCCCCAGATGCCCCCAGATGTCTGCAAATGTCCCCAAATCCCCCGTGTCACCAGATGTCCCCAAGTGTCCCCAAGTGTCCCCAAATGTCCCCAAATGTCCCCAGGTGTCCCCCCTGACCTTCTTGAGGCCGACGCAGAAGCGCCGGAACCCCTCCTTCATGTTGCTGCCTTTCTCCATGGAGATGTGACCCCAAACCCCCATCCCCAAATGTCCCCAAACCCTCAGTGTCCCCAAGTGTCCCCAAATGTCCCCAAATGTCCCCAGGTGTCCCCAAGTGTCCCCTCTGACCTTCTTGAGGCCGACGCAGAAGCGCCGGAACACCTCCTTCATGTTGCCGCCCTTCTCCATGGAGATGACGCGCAGGTGATCCTCCTCGTTCACCCATGGACACGCCCAGGCTGGATTGGACACGCCCAGGCTGGGTTGGACGCGCCCAGGCCACACTAAATTCGGCCTGGGTGCGACCATCTGTCCCAAATCCATCCCAAAACCCCACCTGGCCATGCCCCTGGCCACGCCCAGGCCACGCCCCAGCCAGACTGGACACGCCCAGGCTGCCCTGGACACGCCCAGGCCACGGCCAACCCCGATTGGTTATGGCCATCTGTCCCAAATCCATCCCAAACCCATCATGGACACGCCCAGGACACGCCCGAGCCAGACTGGACATGCCCAGGCTGGATTGGACACGCCCAGGCTGCACTGGACACGCCCAGGCCACGCCCAACTCCGATTGGATATGGCCGCCTGTCCCAAATCCATCCCAAATCCAGCCCAAATCCAGCCCAAACTCATCCTGGACACGCCCAGGCTGGATTGGACGCACCCAGGCTGGGTTGGACACGCCCAGGCCACTCTAAATTCGGCCTGGTCACGTCTGTCTGTCCGAAATCCATCCCAAAACCCCACCTGGACACGCCCAAGCCAGACTGGACACGCCCAGGCTGCACTGGACACACCCAGGCCACGCCCAACCCCGATTGGTTATGGCCGTCTGTCCCAAATCCATCCCAAATCCATCCCAAATCCACTCTGGCCACACCCACCCACCTGAACCCCTGCCGGGCCACTCCCTGGCCACACCCAGCCACGCCCAAACCAGTATGGCCACGCCCACTCCTCCCAAATCCACTCTGGCCACGCCAATTCACCCCAAACCCTGCTTGGCCACACCCACTCAGACCCTGCCCAATCAAATCCCTCCCACTTAAACCACGCCCCATTAGGCCACACCCTTCTCGGGCCACACCCACTCAAGCCTCACCCGCTCTTGCCATGCCCACCAGACCACACCCACACCCCAACCAGCCCAAGCCCTTGCGAGCCACGCCCACACCGACCACACCCCGTATGGCCACGCCCACACCAGCCCCACCCACATTCTGACCACACCCCTCCGACCACACCCGATTTCCCAATCCGACCTCAACCACCCAACCCCACTCTGCCAGGCCACTCCCACCCGGGGGCCACACCCAAACAGGCCACGCCCCTTTAGGCCACGCCCTCACCTGTGACTGACAGCTTCTCGATGGCGCGGCGCTCGCCGCGGCTGCAGTGCGGCGGCAGCGAGTAACCCTTGATGCTGCGGCCGGTGCGCACGCGGCTGCTCAGCACGTACTTGGGGTCCAGGTCCTCCCCGCCCTGGGCACCCCAAAAAACCCCAAAGTCACCCCAAAAACCCCCAAAGTCACCCCAAAAAAATCCCAAAAATTCTGCTCAAAATAACCCAAAATATCACCCCAAAATTTCCCCCGCTCTGAGACCCCGCACTGCTCGGCTCGTACTTGGGGTCCGGGTCCTCCCCGCCCTGGGCACCCAAAAAAACCAGAAGTCACCCCAAAAAAATCCCCAAAATGTCCCAAAAATTCTGCTCAAAATAACCCAAAATATCACCCCAAAATTTCCCCAGCTCAGAGACCCCGCATTGCTCGGCTCGTACTTGGGCTCCGGGTCCTCCCCGCCCTGGGCACCCCAAAAACGGCTCAGGGGCACCCCAAAAAACCCCAAAGGCACCCCAAAAATACCCCAAAAAATCCCCAAAATGTCCCAAAAATTCTGCTCAAAATAACCCAAAATATCACCCCAAAATATCACCCCCTCTGACACAGCTCCACTGCTCAGCTCGTTCTTGGGGTCCGGGTCCTCCCCGCCCTGGGCACCCCAAAAACGGCTCAGGGACATCCCAAAATACCCCAAAGTCACCCCAAAAAAATCCCCAAAATTCCACTCAAAATAACCCAAAATATCACCCCAAAATATCACCCCCTCTGACACAGCTCCACTGCTCAGCTCGTTCTTGGGGTCCGGGTCCTCCCCGCCCTGGGCACCCCAAAAAATCCCAAAGTCACCCCAAAAATATCCCAAAAATATCCCCAAAATGTCCCAAAAATTCTGCTCAAAATAACCCAAAATCTCACCCCAAAATCTCACCCAAAAATTTCCCCCGCACTGCTCGGCTCGTACTTGGGGTCCAGGTCCTCCCCGCCCTGGGCACCCCCAAAATGGCTCAGGGACACCCCAAAAAACCCCCAAAGTCACCCCAAAAATACCCCAAAATAATCCCCAAAATGTCCCAAAAATTCTGCTCAAAATAACCCAAAATATCACCCCAAAATCTCACCCAAAATTTTCCCCCGCACTGCTCAGCTCGTACTTGGGGTCCGGGTCCTCCCCGCCCTGGGCACCCCAAAAAACCCCAAAGTCACCCCAAAAAAAACCCAAATTGTCCCCAGAAATGTCCCAAAAATTCTGCTCAAAATAACCCAAAATATCACCCCAAAATCTCACCCCAAAATTTCCCCAGCTCTGAGACCCTGCACTGCTCAGCTCGTACTTGGGGTCTGGGTCCTCCCCGCCCTGGGCACCCCAAAAAATCGTTCTTGGGGTCCGGGTCCTCCCCGCCCTGGGCACCCCAAAAACGGCTCAGGGACATCCCAAAATACCCCAAAGTCACCCCAAAAAAATCCCCAAAATTCCACTCAAAATAACCCAAAATATCACCCCAAAATCTCACCCCAAAATTTCCCCCGCTCTGAGGACCCCCCAAAATTTCGGGGACCCCTCCCAGATTTCGGGGACCCCTCCCAGATTTCGGGGACCCCTCCCAGGTTTTGGAGACTTCCACCTTGAGGTTCTCGTTGTTGAGGTCGGTGGGGACACCCTAAGGTGGCCCTGTCACCCCTTCCCTGCCTTCCTGAGACCTTTAGGGACCCCCCCAGATTTTGGGGACCCCTCCCAGGTTTCGGGGACCCCTCCCAGGTTTCGGGGACCTCTCCCAGATTTCGGGGACCCCCCCCATATTTCGGGGACCCCTCCCAGGTTTCGGGGGCCCCCACCTTGAGGTTCTCATGGTCGAGGTCAGTGCGGTGCTTGTTTGCAGTGTCTCCCCAAGGTGTCCCTGTCACCCCTTCCCTGCCCTCCTGAGCCCTCTAGGGACCCCCCAAAATTTCGGGGACCCCTCCCAGATTTCGGGGACCCCTCCCAGGTTTTGGAGACTTCCACCTTGAGGTTCTCGTTGTTGAGGTCGGTGGGGACACCCTAAGGTGGCCCTGTCACCCCTTCCTGCCTTCCTGAGCCCTCTGGGGACCCTCCCAAATTTCGGGGACCCCTCCCAGGTTTGGGGACCCTCACCTTGAGGTTCTCGTGGTTGAGGTTGGTGTGGTGCTTGTCGGTGGGTTCTCCCCAAGGTGTCCCTGTCACCCCTTCCCTGCCTTCCTGAGACCCCTGGGGACACCCCCAGGTTTTGGGGACCCCTCCCAGATTTCGGGGACCCCTCCCAGGTTTCGGGGACCCCTCCCAGGTTTGGGGGACCCCCACCTTGAGGTTCTCATGGTCGAGGTCAGTGCGGTGCGTGTTTGTAGTTTCGGGGACCCCTCCCAGGTTTGGGGGACCCCCACCTTGAGGTTCTCATGGTCGAGGTCAGTGCAGTGCTTGTTTGCAGTGTCACCCTAAGGTGGCCCTGTCACCCCTTCCCTGCCCTCCTGAGCCCTCTGCGGACCCCCCCAGATTTCGGGGACCCCTCCCAGGTTTTGGGGACCCATCCCAGATTTCGGGGACCCCTCCCAGGTTTCGGGGACCCCTCCCAGATTTCGGGGACCCCTCCCAGGTTTCGGGGACCCCCACCTTGAGATTCTCGTGGTTGAGGTCGGTGCAGACACCCTAAGGTGTCCCTGTCACCCCAAGGTGTCCCTGTCACCCCTTCCCTGCCTTCCTGAGCCCTCTGGGGACACCCCCAAAATTCGGGGACCCTCCCAGATTTCGGGGACCCCTCCCAGATTTCGGGGACCCCCACCTTGAGGTTCTCGTGGTTGAGGTCGGTGCGGTGCTTGTCGGTGGGTTTGTAGCCCCCGTGCCGGTCCTGGATCACGGGGTCGAAGAGCTCCTTGAAGACCTCGTAGGACTCCTCGTCACCGGCCACGCAGCCCACGGTCATGATGAACGGGTGGCCTGGGGACACCGGGGGTCAATGGGGGTCACCGGGGGTCACTGGGACCAGTATGGGACTGGGATGGGCACTGGGACCAGTATGGCACTGGGATTGGGACATGGGCCCACGGTCATGATGAATGGGTGGCCTGGGGACACCGGGGGTCACCGGGGGTCACCGGGGGGTCACTGGGGGTCACCGGGGATCACTGGGGGACACCGGGGGTCACTGGGACCAGTATGG